TCGACCGTGAATGGTCCAGCATTGAATGAATGTTGGCCCAAAGTGGGTGTATAAACGGTGACGGTCACCGCGTTGAATCAATGTTGAAGTAACATGGATGTAACAATAGTGATACATTCAATCCATACCCAGTCAACAATGATTCAGCGCCTCATTCCAAGCACGTCGGTGTCTATATCGGGGATGAAAATACCAGATTTGTTCAGATTTCGAACTCCTGCTTTGCGTCACCTTGGTGGCCCTTGTGATAAAACAGTCACAGGGCCACTAAACTCCATCGTCCAGGTGCTCCACCCCTAGGAAACTAAGGTTTCAAGTTCAGGGTTACTAGACAGCCCATTGCAACGTTGCTTGCAAAACCATTTTTTAGCGATTTTTTGGGGGGAAAAAATAATTTATTTCATCTAATCAAGAAGTCGGACATGCGATAGAATACGCGTTTGAATGCGAACGTGGTTCGTAGAATGCCTCTCTCCCGTTGTAATGTTAGGGATGACATGGAAAGGAATAGTGACAGACTGGAGTTTCGTGGCGTATTGGTGACACGATTGCTTCGTAATAAAGAAGTCTAGGGTTCGATTTCCGATCTCGTCATTTTGTTTTTGGTCTTCTTATGCTACCCGAACTCTTCCACCACCCCCCTCGAGCTATTACGTTCTCGAGAATGGATCCGACAGTCGCAAGGTCCGGAAAAAAAAGTGCTCCTCCTCGAGGGAGACGCACACCCTTTGCCAGGCAGAAGGCGCCGCACATGCGCACATGGACTTGCGGACATGCACTCAGACCCAAGCATCGGAGGCTTCATGTGCACGAACGCAGCTTCATTGTGTCTTCAATATATAGGAATAGCTTAAGTACCCGGCTTTGCCCGGGGAAATTCAATATTGCATGCATGACAAATTGGAGAACGTAAGCCTTATGGTCTCCTATAAGTTACCGATCTTGGGTGTCGCAAAATGCGCTCAGACCCCTTTCCCTTTTAAAAATTTTTCTTGCACGCTTTGAATCATTTCTAAATTATTTTTAAGGGAAAAAGAAACTTCCTGGTAAAATGCTTTTATCGTCTTGAAACATATTTTCGATGAAAACTTGATCAGAAGAATATTACTTACTACCTACTGTAGTGATCGAGAAATGGGATTACCCCGGGGTACTGTAATGCAGGTGGCCGGGAGGGGAGAGTTGGATGACATGAGAGGACAAAAAATGAAGTTGGGGATGGTTGGGAATCGAACCCGGGCCCCTTGATCGTCGGTCAGGTGTGAAACCACTGCACCACCGAATCCAGCAGTTAATCGTTCCTCTCAATGCCAACTCAGACAATACAGTCCCCCGGAAAAGTACCCCGAGAGTGAAAAGTTTGGACGGAAACATAGCCCTCGACCTTCCCTGGATGAAAGAGGAGGCCATGCAAAGTTTGGTTGCATTGGCTCCTGCGGAGTCCGAATGCATAAAGGAACAGACAAACTTTCTTCTTTATATACGAGATATATAAAGATGGGTCACACCGATCTAGCCTCACAAAAGCACTTTCGTTCATTAGTAAGATAAATGCCTAGATTTCAACATGTCCAAGTCAATGGATGAATTGGCTTTAAAAATGTATATCCGGCGTGTATATATTTATAAATGTATATATTGAATATATATGATTTTTATTGAATCTACTTTTTTTTTCTAATTTTACGTTTTTATTGAGGCAATTCCACCATGTCAGATGCTCGCGAGAGTTTTTTTTTCTTTTTGTTTGTTTGCTGCGATAGACTTCAGGTCAGGCGTAACTTCAGTCATCTTCTTATCTGTCCTAAATCAAGCATTTTTCGTGATCGTAATGTATTATGGACGATTGAACGAATCATGATGAAGTATACACAAAAAAATCCTAAAGGTAGATAATATTTTTTCCTAAGAAACGACGTTTTCTTTGGTAACTTAGCTCCGACTAAATTACAGTTGTGAAGGTGGCACTTATCACGTCGTAACTAAGTTACAACTCAGTTACACCCACATATTTGCCACTACCAGACCGCGTTAAATCAATGTTGATTCAACATAGAAGTATAAACCTTCAACAGTGAAACATTCGATCCACACCAAATCAACGTTGAATCAATGTTATGTGCTACCTGGGTGGTGTATAAACGGTGATGGTCACCGCGTTAAATCAATGTTGATTCAACATAGAAGTATAAACCTTCAACAGTGAAACATTCGATCCACACCAAATCAACGTTGAATCAATGTTATGTGCTACCTGGGTTATCTCCCATCCTTCGCGTGAACTTACCTTTCCATTGCTAGGTGTTCCGCATTTTACAACGTAACACATGCGCACACTCGAACGACCTTGCGATCTCTTGAGGTTCTTCACTTCGTCAAAGAAAGGAGACTCGCCAACGAAAAAGTTGATACATTGTCAGGCCGAGTGTCTTCACCTCCGTAATAAAGGTACAAGATAGCACATAGGAAGGAGCGCACCATGAACTGGGAGACATTTGGAGACTGAGAAGTCACACGACGAGATCAAGTCACAAAACTTCAATTTGCTTTGTGTAGAATTTGTGTAGTGTAATTTATTATGACAATTATTATAGCATCAAAAAGGCCACCAGAATAGATGTGGTACTATATATACAAATCATAAGTTATGATGGTTATAACTTGTTGGGGAAAGATTCAGCTTGTGAGATAGAAGAAGGGTATGTATTAGATGTTGAAAGACGTAAGATGTAAGATTTACCCACTCAGTGAGGGGAAATGGAGGATCCGTGGACTGATGGGAACACTCCAATCGGATGCAGGGCTCTTGGGTACTTGGGCACTATTTACATTTCATCCCCAAGGGTCCCATCTTATCAGGGGGAAAAACTGATGATTCTCGTTATCAGTTTCTCTTCTAGATTGGATTATCGATCTGGTAACTGCTACTTCCCTGAAAGAATCTTGCAGGCGGGATTGTTCAGTGCATTACTATCAGGAACAAAATAGAAGAATTTGGAAATGCTTTGCATCTCAGTGGGATGTTTTACATGGCTTGCCATGCTCCTCATCCTATTCAAGTTGTACATAAAGCTTACGACGAGATGGTGCACTTCCAAGAAGAAAATGACTGGGAAAGTGATCATCATCACAGGCGCCAATACCGGTCCGTTCCATTTATGTCATCTCACGAGTCTTGAGATTTCATTATCATGTGTAAGTCCACGCGAACGGATCTTTGTCCACATAGGAATCGGGAAAGCGACGGCCATGGGCCTTGCACGTCGGGGGGCGAAAGTCATCCTTGCCTGCCGAGATATGAAGAAAGCTCTCGTCGCTGCCAGTCCGTCTCAATTCCACGTCATCTACCCTTTCTCTAAGCATCTAGGAAGTAAGTCATCATCCAATCCATTCTTCTCATCTCACAGACGACATCAAGGCGGCGACGGGAAACATGGAGGTGGTTCCCAAGTACTGCGACTTGAGCAAACTGAGTTCGGTTAGGGAGTTTGTTAAGGAGATCCTTAAGACGGAGGATCGTCTCGATGTTTTGATCAATAATGCCGGAATGGCAGGACTTCAAGAACGGACTTTGACCGAAGATAACCTCGAGTATACCATGGCTGCCAATCACTTCGGACACTTCCTTCTCACCACTTCACTTCTGGGTCAATTAATTATCTCAGTGTCTATGCCAGCCCGTGAAGGACAGATGAAATAGATCTTCAGGTACTTTTGAATTTTAATGTGCAGATCTCCTGGAGAAATCAGCCCCAAGTCGCATTGTGGTCGTGTCCTCAGCCATACATACGTACGGCAAAGTTGACCTAGACAATCTGAATTCGGAGAAGGAATTCAGCAAGTATCTTATCTATGGAAACACGAAGCTTGCTAATGTCCTGTTCACCAAGGAACTGGCTCGTCGCCTGGAAGGAACTGGTACCATGCTTATCTTACTGACTCATCTTTCACCCATGAGTCTCTCAATACCATGAAGTATTTATCGATGATGATGATGGGAACAACAGGAGTGGTGGCGAACTGCCTTCATCCGGGCGTAGTTCACACGGAATTTGCTCGCTGGCTTCCCCAGATTCTTCAACCCATTGTGCACATTATTCTCAGCATTTTTATCAAGGTCAGATATAAGTTTGTTTTAATTGTTTTTTTTTTTTTAGCCGGGGGGGCGGGGGGGTTTCTTAGGAGGACTTATGACCAAAATAAGTTCTTCCTCTCAGATATTCGTGGTTGCAGAATGAGTTTCGATTTCCCTTTCTGTCATCATCGTCTGAAAGGAAATCAGTCCGTTCAAGGCGAGGGTGGTTCAACACTTACCTGCACTTTCTATTATAGAAAATCAATAGGGTAATAAAGAATATGAAAACCAAATATAACAGATAGTCCCAATTCTCTATGTGATCTATGCCAAGACTGGCAACCATTGCGAATAAGCGAATGAGTATGAAGAACATAACGTCTGACGGTGTATCCTCTGCGGTTCGACAGTTTTGCATAATAAAATTTCACGTAAAAGAGAACATGAAGGCGGCAGATATTTTCCGAAGATCGGAAGCACAGTTTGAGGAAGACTGTCCATTGAGGATAAGTATATTCGATTGGTGCAAGAAATTTCCAGACGGCAAGAATCATTGACTGACCTTGAGCGTGGCTCTCCCCTCGCGACTGCTGTGAATCCGGTGAACATCCGCAAATTGAAGAAAAGATTATGGGAAATCGCTGCGTTACCGCGCAAGATTTACCTGCTGAACTGAACATCAGCATTGGCAGCGTCGAAAACATTATCCACACTCCCGTCAAGTTCAAAAAGGTGAGTGTGAGATGGGTGCCATGAGAGCTGACATTGGACCAGAAGGCCAACCGAGTGACTGGAGCGTCGGACCATCTCAATCACCACAACGAAGAGAAAGACAACTTCTTCAACCACAATTTGACGTGCGATGAAACCCGAATTCATCACTTTATGCCGGAATCAAAGTTCTGAAGCTTGCAATGGTAACATTCAGGATCATCTCCACCGAAGAAATTCAGGGCAAGGACAAAGTGGTGAAGTGGCTGTGCACTCGACCGTAAGTATTCTGATGCCTCTGGCATCCAGGTTTTGCCAAAACGATGTGACAAGTACGTCCATCTAGGAGTGAAATACCTCTAGAAGGAGGCTTGGTCTGATCGGGAACAGATGTACCACAGATTTTCTGGAATGAAATGAGCAGTTAAGTATTGTACCACTCTCGTATTTTATCTCATTTCATTTTGCGATGTCAGTATACTGGTTTTGAAAATTATTGCTTGGTAGGAATTGGGTTGTGGATGAGAAAGATGCCATGTTGTCGGTAATCTTCGCAGAAAGTGTGGTAGAATATTTTTCTCCTCAAAACCGATTCGTTAGCTCGAATAGTAAAATTCGTTTGCCCATTAATCAACCTGAAAGACGAGCCAAAAATTAGCATCATCCATCGCTACGCGTAGCATCTTTTATCAATTACCAGTTGACTCGGTGTAATTTCATATGCATACGCTCATAAACGAGCTCAGAAAGGTGCTCTTCTGCTCATTCTCAAAATGGCTTTCTTGAGCAGCTTTTCCGCCTTTACTCGATCAGTCGTGAGTCGTGCTGTCCTATGCTGTCCAATATTAGTTATATCCTCATGGGAATCTTAGTATCGAAGACGGTAAAGCCTACTGTCCGCACTTGTTTAGTCAATCTCAAAGTATGGGAAACCATGTCATATGATAATAGTGGTTACTGGCGTTTTCGTCGCGGCCTAAATGGTCGTGGGCAATTCGTCGCGAATAAAACGTCACAAGTCCATTTCGTCGTTGCACTATATCGACGCAGACGCAGATCGTCGCACTTCCATTGTCAAGGGGGCATTTCATGGTGGGAAGGGGATGATGTCGTATGATAACGTCTCCACCCAAGAAAGGCACTAGTGGTGCATTTTAGAACTAGTCACTTTGTATCTGTACAATGAAAATTTACTCCTCCTAGTGCAGCTTTCCATCTGAACCGGGTTTTCGCAGAACCGTAGGGGTCCGTGGCGAGGCTTCATGTAGTTTGCAAGATCATGACCTGGCCAAAAATGAATAACGGACAAAATAAGAAATTTGAAATTCAGAAATGAGCCTTTCTGACACAACTCCTGATCAATTGCTGTGACTGCAGTCCGGCTTTCAGCTTTTGGCATTTTTTCGCTGCTCAGCGAGTTGGTACTGCAAAGCACTTCTATCAGACCCAAAATGCCAAAAACTGAAAGCCGGGCTACAGTCACAGCAATTGATCAGGTTTTGTGTCAGATCTGTCGCTCGATCCCTTCCAGATTGCACAAAGGCTTGTTGCTCGAAGGTCACGTGGGTGCTCATCTGTAAAAGAACAGGAAATCTAAGTTAATGTCTAATCTGTAAAACTGCACATGCAAAAATAATTAGGACTGCTGTATATAATAGCACTATTGAATCTAACGTTGGGAGATAATTAAAATTCACCATGTAGACTGAGAACTGCTGCTGTTGATGTTTTGATCCATTCCAGTGCCATGCACATAAAAACTGAAGTTTCCACATGAACTGTGCACCTCAAAATAAGTCGAAAACGACAGGAACATTGAATCCCTCCCTTCCCTTTCTCCTCCCCAAGTGATAGGAGTCAGATACCCTTCCTTTCTGTGAATTTTGTTTACCTTGTCTGTAAGATAGTGCCTTGCCGTGCATGTGCGACGATCTGGGTCTGCGACGAAATAGTGCAACGACGAAATGTCCGCAACCATTTAGGCCGCGACGAAAGCGCCGGTCACGGATAATAGTTTGCATGAATTTGAGGGGAATTTGCTGAACTCCATCAATAATTTATTTGATCATTCTAAGAATAATAGGAATTATGATAATAGCATTTCTGTAATATCTGCTAGGGTATCAATAGGATAAGACATTTTTGATATAATGAGACTTACAAAGATGGTCATAGCCTTCTACTGATTTTCTACTGTGGGAGTAAAGTAACGATATTCATAATGCAGACACCTGAAGAGGGTGCCCAGACCTCTATTCACGTGGCTGTGTCCGAGGAAGCCGGGCGGGTCAATGGCAAATACTTCTCTGACTGCAAGGTACTCTCTCCTATGCTTTTTTTGTCGCCAATCATATGATTTCAGCGCTTAATCTTGTTTTCAAAATCACGTCGTGTGTGCAGATGACCGTTGAAAGCGAGAAGGCCCAGGATATGGAATTGGCGAAGAAGTTGTGGGAAGCGAGTGAGAAGCTTGTTCATAACGATGTCTTGCACGGATAACACTTGTTCCCTTCTTCGCTTGCTCAAAATTTCTTAGTTTTTCAAAATAAAATTAGCGGAGGCCTGATATAGTTACCGTTGATAAGTTTCCATGCAACCTGACAAGAAATGCTGGAGTCTAGCTACTGCCGGGCAATACGGCCAGCAAGCCCTCCCCAAAGCTTGAGATTATATTGAGAGGAAATGGGAAGGGGGAAAGGGGCGTGAAGGAAAATTCAGTCACTAGCCGGAGGTAGCCGTTGGAATATGTCGACCGATATAGACGATGGTCACGATGGGATGATGTCAAATCGCGTAATGGTTTAAGTCACGGTCGAAGATTCCAATGGGTAGCTGATTCCGCTGAAACCGTTAATAGCTTACTGTCAATTAACGACGGTTGACTGGTAAAAAAAAATTAACAACTTTTAACAAATGTAAAAATCATGACTTGTATGAAGGTCCACTTTGCCTCCGGGCACGTCACCTCCATCCTGAATGAGGAGCCTTGGTCATCATCTGTTCCATTCGTGTTGTGGGGTTGCGATTCCAGAATTGGAATGTTGCAATATTTTTCAGGAGCTGCTATTGCACTGAGCTTCATATTCAAGTATTGGGTTGGAAAGAAAGTCTTGCAGCACTCTGCGCAAATTTTGAAAAATTGTATAACTTTATTGAAATGCAATTTCAGTCTACAATGTAATGACCATTGTTGTCTATGACATGTTCCCAACGCACGGGTAACTGCTCGATGCCCTTTGCCCAGAACTCTGGCGATTGCGAAGCGAAGAAACGGCCGACGTCATTTTCGAGCTGTGCTCGATCGTCGAAGGCCTTGTCCCGCAGGTGATTCTTGAGGGCCCGGAACAAATGATAGTCGGAAGGGGCCAAGTCCGGAGAATACGCTGGATGGGGTAAAACTTCCCAGCCCAGTTCCGAAATCGTCTGGCGAGTCATCTTCACAACACGTGGACGAGCGTTGTCATGCAGAAGGAGAACGTCGCGTTTGGGACGCTCTTTTTGAATGACGCCAGCCAACTTCTGAAGTTGAGCAGCGTAGACGACGGCAGTCACGGTGGTACCGGTTGGCAGGAGCTCATAGTACAACATTCCTTCTGAATCCCACCAACAGCAGAGAAGAACCTTCTTCTCGTGGAACCCTGGTTTCCGTTCGTGTGGCGGCAATTCTCCTCGTGGAAGCCACTGACTCTTGCGAGTATGGTTGACGTAGAGGACCCAGCTCTCATCTCCAGTAACGATTTCCTTCAGAAGTTCCTTTCTGTGCGGATGAAGGAGCAGTGATTCGCAGACACTGACACGGCTCAGAGTCGCTGAGCTGATGAGGGACCCATGTCGAGTAAACCTTCCAATAGCCGAGGTCGTTCAGATGGTTGCCGATGGCCATATGGGTGATTCCAAGTGTAGTCGCCAATTCGCGAGTGATGGCGTTCGGCTTCGCGTTGAGGGCTTCGTCAGAAAGTGTTGCAAGACTTTCTTTCCAACCCAATACTTTATGCAAAAGCATAAAGTGCGGCATTGGAATTGTAAAAGGAGGACAATCAAATTTTCTCAAACTGCAGCTCCAATTCCAGGCCCAATATGATTGAGGTGCTCATTTTTCTGAAAGACAATAATTCGACTCATGAGTCGAACATTTAAGTCATGGCACATTTAAATCCCAAACATAAGGAAAATCAGCGAAATGAGTGAAAGAAGTGAAATTAAATTAAGCTAGCTCTTCCGTTAAGTAATCGATCGAAAGATTGTCTGACCTAAGGCCCTCATTGCGTATCCCTGACCTAAACTCTCCGGAAAAGGTATGGTTGCTTTCACTTTTTGTGAAGTTGGGAGTAGAACTGGAACTGTTTTCTTCGGCGTCCTCATTTCTTCCTTGCCAGGTTGAGTCTACGGAGAGAAGAGGGAAGCAACCTGATCAGATCGGTACCTTCAAGGCCAAGCACTGTTATCATGGCTGCTCACATGAAGTTGGGCTTATCGGGAAAAGATTTTGAAGAGTCTCGTTTATCTGTTATTCTCCTGCTCACGGTAGGGGTCTCAGTCCCGTAGCTCCCGCTTCTAGAGAAACGCTGAGTGGGCTTCTCAACCCGGTGCATGTGTCAGGTGAAAGAAAAAAAGAAATCTTGAAAATGTGCTGCATCTCAGTGGGACTTTTGACATGGCTCGCCATTCCCCTCATTCTCGTCAAATTGTATCTGAAGTTTACGACGGGGTGGTGCACTTCCAGGAGTAAAATGACAGGGAAAGTGGTCATCATCACCGGTGCCAATACCGGTCCGTTCCATTTATGTCATCTCACGAGTCTCGAGATTTCAATCTCATGTATAAGTCCACACGGGCGGATCTTTGCCTATAGGAATCGGGAAAGCGACGGCCATGGACCTTGCACGTCGGGGGGCAAAGGTCATCCTTGCCTGTCGAGATATGAAGAAAGCTCTCGTCGCTGCCAGTTCGTCTCTATCTCACCAGCGTCTACCCTTTCTGTACGCATATTTGAAGTAAGTAATCAACGAATCCATTCTTCTCATCTCACAGACGACATCAAGGCGGCAACGGGGAACAAGGAGGTGATTCCCAAGTACTGCGACTTGAGCAAACTGAGTTCTGTTCGAAAGTTTGTGGAAGAAATCGTTAAGACGGAGGATCGTCTCGATGTTTTGATCAATAATGCCGGAATGGCAGGACTTCAAGAACGGACTTTGACCGAAGATAACCTCGAGTATACCATGGCTGCCAATCACTTCGGACACTTCCTTCTCACTACATCACTCCTGGGTTCGTTGATGATCGCAATATGAATGCCTATCTGTGCAAGATATTCGTAATATACTGTAGATCTTCGTGTTATGTTTTGTTTTCGGGGGCAGAACTGCTGAAGAAATCGGCCCCAAGTCGTATTGTGGTCCTGTCCTCAACCATGCATTCTTACGGTAAAGTTGACTTAGACAATCTGAATTCGGAGAAGGAATTCAGTAAGTACCGTATCTATGGAGACACGAAGCTTGCTAATGTCCTGTTCACCAAGGAACTGGCTCGTCGCCTCGAAGGAATGGGTAACTGAATTATTCTTTGCATATCTTGCAGGTTTCTTTTTCTCGGATCCATAGATCAGATATGAAGTAATATTCACAAATTTTGCTTGGTGGTGGTGCTCGATTGGATGGGAACAACAGGAGTGGTGGCGAACTGTGTTCATCCAGGCGCAGTTCACACGGAAATCTTTCGCCGGGTTCCCCAGATTCTGCAACCCATCGTTGAATTCGTTCTTCAAGGCTTTTGCAAGGTCAGACGAAGGAATTTTTTCAAAATCCATTTCTATGCTTTGATATGGGAGTTGAGAGCAAGCTAAAAATGCTTGCTTCTCCTCAGATATTTATAATTGTGAAAAAGTTTCTAATTATTAGGTTGTTCCGAAATAAATGTCCGATTTTCGAAGTGTAATGTTTTGTCTATCATTATACCTGTCAATTTTGCGATAACCAGTTATTGTTATATACCGTTTTTTTCAGCAAACCTTTCCTGATGTTGGGAGACGGAGTTTTGCCTTGGAGCGCTGGTGCTTGGTCCTGGTAACCTTCACTCTTACGTTCAGGCCGAGTGCCCGGTCCACTTATTCTCCCTGAGAAACATTATTTGATTGTTCCAGCTGTTGAATTCTTTGTGAATGGCCGAGCGCCGAGTAACTGTTGAGTCCTTTGTAGATGGCCGAGAGCCGAAAAACTGCTGAACTTTATGTAGAAGGCCGAGCGCCACATCTTGTTGTTGATAGGGCTTAAGTGATCTATGTAGAAGGCTGAGCGCCCGTTTGCCGGCACCTGCACAGTCGGAAGTCAATTCCTCAAGCACTCCCTAGTTACTATGTTAAACTGGCATGTCAGGGTGGCAAAAAAACTCCTAAAACGAGATCGAAGAGGACTTGTAAATGGGATAGGAGCAATTGGAAAGAATTTGTTTGGCTTAGCCACCAGCGACGAAATAATTATCTCTCACGTAAAGTGAGAAGAATTTTCCAGGGATGAAGACCCACTTGTGAATGTCGAGACACAATTGCTATCGTTCGCAAAGGAAACGGCAGACCCTCTCGTAGCACAGAAACAGATTCTCCATCAAGTGGTCTTAACTATGAAGGACGTACATGCCAGACAGGCAAAAACCCAAGAAGTACTGGATACAGATCTGTCACGTGAATAACTGAAAGTAGGGAGGTTGGATGGACGAGAGAGGACGAAAGAAAGCCAGGGGACGGCCGGGAATTGAACCCGGGCCTCCTGATTGCCGGTCAGGTGTGCTACCATTACACCACCGAACCCAGGACATTCAGTCGTGCCTCTCAACACTGCCTTCATCACACATACATCCAAATTATTAAGCGATATCTTGGTTTTGTATCTATGGAATTTTTGAATGCTCGGCACAACAAAAGACGGAAAGGAATGGCTGAGTAATGAGGGTGGATCCAGAAAATTTTCATAGGACGTGCTGGGAAAGGGGAACTGTGTTAAGCATTGGAAAGGTGAATAAATGGGATAGTCAACAAAGGGAACAAACCTCTAATCTTCTCATTGCAGGAAATGGATTCCCACGTAAGCTTTAAGCTCTGGGGAATCGTACAAAATAAGGGGTGCAACTTTATGAACCATAAAGTTGCACTCCAACCCCGCATTCCAATACTCCATTTTTGATTCGCCTTGGAGCGTAAGGTCCCGCGGGCATCTCGACACTACCCCAACACCAAAGTGAATTGTGCATGCACAGAAACCTTACAGTATGGGTGGCTCGTGATATCGTCAATGGAGGCAGGGTAAGCCTTGGCCTACCCTACCTCCACTTAGAATCCACTACCGCTGGATATCACGAGCCGCCACTGCCATGCACGTGTAGTTATGTACAGTCCGTGTAGATTGCCCTATTCTAAACAGAAGTACAGGTATCCTATTTGTATTTTGATATATGTATTTCTTGCCCTTCTATCGTGGATATTGAATCATGATTTCGTAACCCAGACACCAGAAGAGGGTGCTCAGACCACCATTCACCTGGCTGTGTCCGAGGAGGCCGGGCAGATAAACGGAAAGTACTTTTCTGACTGCAAGGTACATACATAACCGTACTTTATTTTCACAGCCGTCTGATTCAAGTGCTGAACCTTGCCTCCCATTTCCTGTCGTATGCGCAGGTGGCCGTTGAAAGCGAGAAAGCCTGCGACATGGTGTTGGCAAAGAAGTTGTGGGAAAGGAGTGAGAAGCTGGTCCACAACGATTAGTTACATAGATAGCAGTTGTTTCCTTCCTTGTGTACTCAATTGTATTTTTTTTCCAAAATAAAATTGGCAGGGGCTATCAATCGTTCTCATGGATAGGTTTATTGTATCCTGATATGAAACACTGAATTCAGGCAGCTGATACGTAAAATAGGAATTGGAACTCTCGATCACACTAAATTTTGCTCTCAGAGGAACTGCGTTGTGTGCCAGTGAGAAAGTAAGAGGCGTGAAGGGAAATCCAGCTGATAGCCAAAGAGATGGACATATCGGACGATATAGACGTTGATCCTGGTGGGGTGATGTCGAATACGTCCTTTCAAACCGTTCGTGGCTTAGTGTCAATCAACAACGGCTGACTGGTATCGACGTTGACTCCTCCTACTGCTTTTTCTCTTTCTTGCAGGATGAGCCTTGGTAATAGTTTTCGCCAGTGTTGTGGGATTGACATTGCGCTATAGGAAATTCCATCTTTTATTTTTCAGGTATTGCAATTGTATTGGACTTCATGCTTCCGCATTAAATGCGAAATTGAAATCTCACGAAAAGTTTATCAAATTCCAACTCCAAATTCAAGCCGTACGTGTTAGGTGTGCTGATTTCACTTACGTGCAACACTTTTAATCACTTTCTGAAACATTACTGCAAAGTATGGGCTTGACAATGAAACTGAGTCAAGCTTGTTCTTCAATCGGTCACCTGTCGAAACAGCTTAACCAGCAACCCCTTTTTCACTTTGTTTCTCCATGTCCCTGATTAAATCTGCAAGGAAATGAACAGATGCTTTGACTTTTTGTGAAATTGGAATTGAAACTGGAATGGTGAACGAGAGGAATTGCAATTATGGATTCCAGTCAGAAGTATCTGGAATTGGAACGATTCCACCTGAAGCTTTCTTTGAATCGGAGAGAAATTCTCTCAAAAATTCAGCTCCAGAGCAATAGTGTCAACTCGCTTTTCCCGTCTTCCTCAGTTGCCTTATTTCTTACTCTCCGTAATGAATCCGGGGAGAGGAGAGCAGGCTGATTTGATCGGTCTTCTCGGGGCCAGACACAATTTATCATGGTTGCACCCACGGAATTATCAGTGAAAAGGCATCGAAGAGTCTTTCTTTATCTGTTGCTCTTGTCCTCTCAATAGGGATATCAATCCAGTAGCTCAAAGCTTCCTGAAAAACACCCCAATCTCGACGATCCCGTTCTTCATCAGGTGGAAAGGAAGAAATCTTGGAAATGTGCTGCATCTCTGTGGGACTTTTGACATGGCTTGCCATTCCCCTCATTCTCGTCAAATTGTATCTGAAGTTTACGATGGGGTGGTGCACTTCCAAGAGAAAAATGACTGGGAAAGTGATCATCATCACAGGCGCCAATACCGGTTCGTTCCATCACGAATCTCAGGATTTCAATCTCATGTATGAGTCCATATCAACAGATCTTATCCATATAGGAATCGGGAAAGCGACGGCCATGGACCTTGCACGTCGGGGGGCGAAAGTCATCCTTGCCTGCCGAGATACGAAGAAAGCTCTCGTCGCTGCCAGTCCGTCTCAATTCCACAACGTCATCTACCCTTTCTCTAAGCATCTAGGAAGTTAGTCATCATCGAGTCCATTCTTCTCATCTCACAGACGACATCAAGGCGGCGACGGGAAACATGGAGGTGGTTCCCAAGTACTGCGACTTGAGCAAACTGAGTTCGGTTAGGGAGTTTGTTAAGGAGATCCTTAATACGGAGGATCGTCTCGATGTCCTGATCAATAATGCCGGGATGCTTGGGCTCCAAGAACGGACTTTGACCGAAGATAACCTCGAGTATACCATGTCTGCCAATCATTTCGGACACTTTCTTCTCACTACATCACTCCTGGGTTCGTTGATTACCACGAAATCAATGTCTACTTGCGCAAGAAATTCGTGACATGCATATTCGTGCTGTTATATCTCGTATATTCGGTGGCAGAACTACTGAAAAAATCGGCCCCAAGTCGCATCGTGGTCGTGTCTGCAGCTTTGCATGTTTACGGTAACATCGAAATGGATAACCTAAATTCCGAGAAAGAATTCAATAAATATCGTGTCTATGGAGATACGAAGCTTGCCAACATCTTATTCACCAAGGAACTGGCTCGTCGCCTCGAAGGAACAAGTAATTATCTTTTGCGCCTGTTTGGCTTCTATTGACTGCGTCATTCGACAGCAAGAAATAATTTTTTGAATATCCCCTGTGATGATCTCAATCAATGTGATGGATGGAAACGACAGGAATGGTGGTGAACTGCCTTCATCCAGGCGTAGTCCATACGGACTTGCCTCGCCGGGTTCCTCACTTTCTTCGTTCCATCGTTCGCTTTCTCATGAGCAACTTTTGTAAGGTAAGATGAAGGAATATTTCGTCAGCAATATCTCATTTTGGACCATGGATCTGTTTTAAGCGATAGACGTTTCGGTTGACAGCCGAACCCAGGTAGTGCAAAGGAGAGCTGCTTTTCTCAGGTTTCGGTTGAGTGAGCGCTAATGCTCTATGCCGTCATATGTTCATCTCTGATTCGAGCACATTCTCACGTGACCGAACCGACCTAGCTCTCGTGTGGGGTTCTTTCATCATCGTGCCATTAATGATTAGAAACCGCAGTGAAGCTTCTTTCCCTCGTTTCATTACCAGCTCTATGTGGAGATGATGTGCCAGAATTCCTCCACGGTACTCATCGAAATGCTCTTGGATATCGTGTTCCTCGTGCAAGAAACAGGAAGTGCTGTTTGGCTTTCTTTTACCAAAATCCTCGTCATTCCGTCTCCAACCTTCACTTTCATAGAAGAATCGGTTGGAATGGGAAAGATATGCCATTATGTAGGTAGTACAGAAGCTTTTTAACAAATTCACTCGACCTTCCCCAGGCACGATACAGGTTGTGATGAAAACTCCTAATGCGTTTCGCCTAATGCGTATTGCGTATCCGACGCGAATTTCTTTATCTCCTGTTACTGCCTTGGGAAGGATTAACTTTATACTTGGACACGGTTTTCAGATAGATGAAGGAATCTAGTCCCAGACCTGGCAACGCCTAATAGTCCCGAAAAGGAGGAAACAAAATATGGTTATCATAGATCCTTATGCGAGACGCCTTAATCAATCACAAGATGATTTTGTGCTGTGCTTTTGCCCATAGACGAGCTGTTCTCTCTCGGCAAATACTGTCGACTTCGCATAATGGAATACTCCGCTTAATGAACCACCATTGCTCGGCCTCGATTTATGGTACGATACCGCAGATGGTTTCGGTTATTGGAATCCTCCGAATCATAGAATGAAGTTCGCTGGTCCCGTGAGTATTCCAATATGCGGAATCGACTATACTTTCGATGGGTTCGATTGACCTGATCTGGCCTGCCGACCCAACCGAAGGACTATGGGTTAGATTGTACAAGTTGCATATTCAATATTTTCTGAATGATGGAGTCTCAAAGTTCATAATGTTTTTTAGTGTTGTTTAGAGTAGTTTAGTCAGAGCGAGCCATCATGTTGCTAACCGAATAACGAAGAATTGTATCTTCGAAGCATGCCCCACTTTCTTTGCATCGATGCAAAACTTGAGTGAGAACGTGAAAAGAAGGAAAACCGAGATGGTTCCTTCTGGTTAGGCTTACGTCGAACTGCTTCCAAAGACTCCTTTCGGGTTTTTTGTTTCTTTTCGTCATTTACTTCGTTGCTAACTTTTTCTTAAAAGTGCCTATAGTTGCAACTTTAGTCGTAGCAGACGAACGAAGTATCCCTCTCATCCATCTCGTTATCCCACATGCTTTCCAAAAAAAAGCTCTCAAACTTATGAAATTACATTTGTATCTAAAAGGAAATGACCCTGGAATTGCTTTTATAGTATGTCATAGTTTTTTCGTAAGTCATTGATAGAGGTGAAATAAGCATGTCCTTAATGCAGACGACAGAAGAGGGAGCCCAGACTACCATTCACCTGGCTGTGTCCGAGGAAGCTGGGCGGGTCAATGGCAAGTACTTTTCCGACTGCAAGGTAAACACCCTCATTCTTTTCTTTTGTCATTCGTCTGATAGCAGCGCTGAATCTTGTATTCCGTTTCCTGTCCTGTGTTAAGGTGATCGCTGAAAGCGAGAAGGCTCGGGATATGCATTTGGCATCGAAGTTGTGGGAGAAGAGTGAGAGGCTCGTCAACAGCACTCGAGCTTTGTAGATAACCATTATGTCCCTGAGTTGTATATTGTGAGAGATCTCAATTTTTCGCAAAGATAAGATTGCAGAGGCCCTTAAAAATGTCTTCGGATAATTTATTCCACGTATCCAAGCTTCACACTCAGGATACTGGCACCTGTGGGGAAAGTTGTAAAGCGTACTGCGTGAACCATCCCTTTCGCTTACTATTGTACCGACAGAAAAAATAATAAGAGAGGCGTAAACGGAATCCCGTCGCTAGCCGAAGGGATTGACGTATCGGCCGATATAGACGATGATCCCGGTGGGATGATGTCGGATCACATATAGAAAGTCACGGTTGAAGTCCACTTTCACAGCATCGCTCCGAGTCTGTCTCTCCCGCTCCCGTTTCTCTTTCTCCATCTGCATCGCATCCTTCCGTTCCAAGATGTTGCCTAAAGTGACAGTCGTGCCATTTTTCGGCGGCTCCACGCTCACGCTCACGTCGTTCAATTGGATGAAATCTGCCATATGAAGGTCCCGCAATCCGTTGATCCCGGTCATGTCCGCCGTTCCGGGCGTGAATAACCCATCCACACCCATCAACTTCATCAACTGTTCGTAATGGATCACAACTTTGCTGCTGAACGCAGGGAAAGTGACCTGAATGGGTCTCAGGACCACGCTACGCAGCAACCGGCTCCAGCTGTCGGGATTCAGTTCCTGCTCGAGGGTCTGGACCCCGCCAGCGGAATACTCAGTGGGTCGACCGGGGAGGATGAGGATGAGCCCGAAATCCGCGTTAGCGTATGGAATCTCCACGAGGGTGGCGTCCAAAAATGGATCATAACCCCCGTATAAATCCGCGGTCTGTCTCACCCCTTCCATCTTCAACAGACGCCGGAATGGCGAAGGGATTTCGGTGAAAAAGAATTCTTCGGGGGATGTCGTTCTCCCTTCGTGCTTCCATCGGCCCTAACGGATCCAGAAGAAAGAAATAAAGAAAATGAGGAGAAAAATCTGGGAAAAGCTCGGGGGTGAAGCGAATCAAAAACAATTGAAATACAGAGAAAAATCATGGACGCCAGTTGGTTTCTCTCAAATACCAGGAAGTTGGAACTCCTGTATTGACCGACTTCAGTTTCCATTCAAACTCGTAACGATCAGCCTTGAACCTGCTATTTAAAAGATTCCCTGTTGGAATCTACCCTGGCTCCTGGCATGTCCCTCGGATGGATCAGTTTTCTCATCGCTATTAGTTATCTTTTTTTCATCGCTATTTTATTCACGTATGCGTGATTTTGTTCGACACGTTCGTTGAATTACTGTTTGCGCTGGTACACGTTATACAAGATTGATTTTCTCTATTAGTTCACTCCACGCCAAATGCACAGTGTCTTTAATCGACTGTGCTCCAGATTAGGATGCTATTACCGTCTACTTTAATATTTCCCCATTTAAACAGTTCAAAACAGTTGAGGACCTCCTTGGAAGGAACACCGTACTCTGTCTCGATTCTGAAGATGAGTAATCCTCATGTTACCATGGATCTAGCTCGCTAAGATGCACCCGAAGTCCGCCTTCCCCGAATACGCGCTAACAATGCTGTTCCTCATTCATTAGCTTGTGCATTGATATTAATCTTGCCTCACGTTACTGTAGGAATTGGTAATCATCAGGCGCTCAATCAAGGAGTTTTCCTTTTGCCTCTCATGGAACAGCACTGCGATAATGGGACTTCAAGGAGTGCTGGAGTGGAAGGCTTCCATTCAGAACAGGGAAGAAGGTCATAGTTACACCTCACATTTAGAGACAAAGACGCGGTAGTCGCCAAAGCAGACCGAAAAGATTCTTCTCATTACGGTAAAAAGAAAAACGAATTCTCGGGAAAGACGAAAAGCTAGTATAAAATGAGAATTTCCTCAACTCGAAAGAGGGAGAGCACTAAGAGAGGTGGAAAAGAGCTGTGTCCGGTTGGATAAACGGGTTCCACTAGGAATTACCCTAACAATTAAGTTTTATTAATACTGTACAAGGTGTCCGAAAAGTCCCTGTCTATTTTGCAGATATAATGATATTTTGATGTTGCAGGGATATTGATTGATAATGTTGAGTCTTCGTAAACGTGTAGCAGTAGTTTCACTTCGACTCCTAGGCAAGTCATGCAATGAGATCAGAGAACAGTTTCAAAGAAGATTTAACAAACCTGGACCCGCAGACAAAAAAATTCGTAAACTGATGAACGAATTTAAACGGAGAGCATCTGTCAATGATGAATCAAGATCTGGCCGTCCATGTTCTTTATAGGAAACAATGGAATCGATAAGAGAAGCTTTTGAACGTAATCTAAATCATCTGTCCGCCGTGCATCACTAAAGAGAATGTGACCCATTAAATCCTCCATCTCAATTTGTTCAACCAAATCGGCAGACGTTGCGGGTCGTGCAGCATAATCCTCTTCGTGAAAATCATGCGGCATTTGAATGTGATACGCTCTCCTTTTTTTTTATTAGTAGATTTCAAAATGTCGTGAAGAGTTGATTTGGGAATGTTCAGTTCACGTGATGCACGGCGGACTGACGATTTAGGATCACGTTCAAAAGCTTCTCATCGATTCCACTGTTTCTGGGAAAGTACGTGGACGGACAGATTTTGCTTCATCATTGAGAGATCCTTTCCGTTCAAATTCGATTTACCAATTTACGAATTGCTTTGTCTGTGGGTCCCGGTTTGTTAAACCTTCTTTGGAACTGTTTTCTGATCTCATCGCATGACTTGCCTTGGAGTTGATGTGAAACCACTGGCACACGTTCACGAAGATTCAACATTGTCAATCAATATCCTACAACATCAAAATATAATTATTTCTGCAAAATAGATAGGGACTTTTCGGACACCCTGTACAGTATTATTCCATCCTATCAATAGACTTATTGCTAAATGATAGTGTCATGCATTAAAGTTTGAAGCAGCTGAGAAAAGGAAGGTATTGTGGTATGCTGGGAACAGTCTTTCCAAGTGCTCCCTGGCTTCAATCCTACTTACACATAGCAAAAGGACAGGTTAATCAAGTTCAGGATAGTTAAGCGGCCACAAATAGTTGTGATGAGGCAATTATGGGCTCGGTGAAGGCAATTAAAAGACATCTTGTACTTCATTCATTATGAGGACCGTTATGATGATATAGTGTTAATAGCAAAGACGATAAGATGAATAGA